TGTGAAATCCTGGCTTTATGGATACAAAATACGGTGCTCCTATCGCTGCACATATAGCTCGCAGATGGGTGCTATACAAACAAAGCAAATTTGCATGTTATGTGGCTTCGCTAAGGGCCTTGCTGCACGAGCGAAAAAGGTTGTTTATTTAGACAAATTCTCTGTTATCACCAGCCCTTTCTTGCAAAGGCGGCTAGTTTGTCGCGACTTGACAAATTTTGGCCGAAGCGGAAAAATCTTCAGACGCACCGTCGACAAAATTTGTCCCGGGTAAAAGCAGGACAAAAATCGACTAGATAAACAAAACCGTGATAACTTATCGATCATATGACGTAAAAGCTATCGCAATGGAACTGAAAGAGGTGGATTGCTTTGCCAAACTTTGCTGGCCGGTATTTTGAACAGATCAGGCGCTGATGTAATTTTACGGCTTTGAAATTTTTATTGCAGCTGCCATAAAGGAAACAGAAAATTTGTTTTGATTGTTAGTATTGTGTGTTGCGTGACATAAACCATCAACCTTATGGAAATTAGATCAATTCAACCGAAGGTTGAAAGAAGCCGACTTGAATAAGCGAAAATAAAAACCATATTTCTATCGATTATGAAGTATTACTATGCAAATAAAACCTTTTGATTAAATCACCTTTTATACTGCACTATGTGATTTAGGAAATGGCATTTTAACTCTGCAAACGCAACAAAATTTTCCTGTAAACACTGTAAAACGGTTAAATGTGGCCACTGGTACAGCACAATTTTTATAGCATTGAAAAGAATCAGAGGTTGTATAATGACGCTAGAAGGCAGTGTTGCAGAAGATTTGTATTCACATGTAAAACAGAAAACCTGCCGCATGGTAACGTGCTTTCATTTCGAATGAAAAAAAAATTGCTGAACTTTCTACAATGTGTAGATCACACCTAATTAGCTATTTCGGCATGGAAAAGTATCGTTTTCAATTTCGCGCCAGAGATGCTATTGTGAAATTTATCATCTTTTGTAGTGTCACGGCAAGAACTGAAAAAACAGAGCGTCTCGTACAATCTTCTGGGCATGGTTCGCTGATTTAAACGTGAAATGCTCTTTCTTCAAAGATAAAATTGTTCTCCAAGTTTTCATGATGTATTGATCACCCCGAGGAAAAGTCTAGTGTTCAACGATCTTGAGATGATTGTGAGATATTTAAGAATTAAATTTTGGTTTTATTCAGGCAGAAAATCATTTCTTCTTCCTTCAACTGCGCCCAATAATCTCTAATGAAAATGTCGAACTGCGAAGATACTCCGAAATAAACAGTAAGTGACATTGGGTCAAAATCGGGTAAAGTTTGGCATTCTATTGTTATGCTCACTCACTCACTCATTTCGGCAACAGTCTCCTGTAGTTGTGTACAGCAAATCTATTCAAAATCACGTTTACATCGAATTTAGGGAAGAAATACCTTTGAACATACACCCTAACGTTTTTCTTTTGTTTTCTTTATCACCTAGCTTGAGAGAAAAGTATGGTAAATTGTATTCCATGAAGGTGGGGAGTTTTAAAACCGTCGTTGCCGAGGATGCTGCTTCAGTGAAAGAAGTGTTGGTGAAGAAATCGGCTGATTATGCTGGAAGACCTCCATTCCATAGCTTCGTGATGACCACTCTTGGTATGTAATGCAATGGCGAATAACATTTGTCATTTGTTGTCAACTCAGAGGGCAATATAGAAAATTCTCTGGAAATTGACTGCCAATGTGGAGTGGGGGAGCGGGATGGGTTGGATGAAGGGGTCATACGGTCATACAAACATTACAGAGTCCTATGGGGAGATCAGGTAAACTTTATTGTCACCTACCCCTGCTCTCTCCCCCCCCCACCCCTCCCTACGGCAATAGATAATGACCGGTCTCCTAAGAGCTAAAAAAAAACATGAAAATTATAAATATTCTTGTACTGCATTTTAGGCGGAAAGGATATCGCATTTGGAAATTATGGTCCTGCATGGAAGTTTCATCGCAAACTCTTTATGACGGCGGTGCGAAAGTATATCTCGGATCAAGAGCTGGTTGAAGAAAGAATCTCCGAGCAAGCAAAAAGGCTTCTGCAGTACTTTGAAGACCAGAAGGAAAAAGGTTTTGACCCATCACAGATTTTGATGGAAAGCGTTGCAAACGTCATCTGTCGAATCACGTTTGGAAAGCTCTTTGATTCATCACATCCAGATTTTAAGGAACTCTTGGAGATAAACAACAGAGCCTTTACAGACACCGAATTGAATAGTCAAATATTTATGTTAGATAACTTTCCCATAGCCAAATACCTCCCATTCAAAGCTTACGAAACAGAGAAAAAAATGACTGATCGACTCTTTGAGATTCTGCGCAATCAGCTAAGGGTGCAAGAGAAAGCATTTGATCCCGAAGCGGAGATCGAGAGCCTCACTAGTAGCCTTTTGAAGGAAAAACTTGTCGCCGAAAATGAAGTTGGCACTGGGGAGAAAGCAGCCATCTTGTCCGACGACTACATAATCAACACCATGGAAGACATGTTCAGCGCTGGTTATGAGACCACCAGCACTACTCTTCGTTGGGCCATTGCTTACTTAGTTCACAATCCTGACTGTCAAACAGAGATTCAGAACCAGTTGGATGAGGAGGTAGGGAGGGATCGTATGCCAGGTCTGGATG